CTGATTCTATATATATATATATATATATATATATTGTTTACTTTAAAAATAATAACTATCCTTTTTTTTGGAAACACTAATTTATTTTATTTTTTCCACAAGACACAGTGCCTTTTTTCTTGCTAGTCATAAATAAGGAATATACATGACTGACTTTCAACTACAATGTACAAAATTCAAAAGTGATATTTAGACATCCTACAAATTCTATTATTGATCCTTTAAAGTTAAAATTAAGTTGATCTCAAATAAAATTATGATAAAATTTAAGGACAGTTTTTTAGGTGTACTAGAGATATAAAGTTTTATTTTGATATTACATACTTATATTTAATATAAATCTCATTAATATATATTTATATATAATATTAAGATAAATTTTAACTCTAATTAAAAACCAACATCACTCTAAGTTTTATCGTAATATTATAACATATTTGGTAGCTTTTAGCTTTTTCCCCTGATAATTACATTTGTTATGTCAAGGAGTTGCCCTTGTTCTTCTTCACTCATGCATTAGCTTCGAATCACCTCCCTCACTTTCATCGATTCCATAACTAACAAGTCGAAATAATCACTTTCTCACTCACCCATCAATAGCAAAAAACAACGTAAATATTGCTATTTACTGCCTATAGTAAACTACATTAATCACTTATTAGTTGAGAATGGCTCTAAAAAATTCAGAAATCATCACTCCTGCAAAATGAGCATGTCCTCCATTCATTATTTTAAAATCAAAATAATTATTTCTTCTCTATGCTACTAAAAACTGTATGAACTCAGTAAGCTTATTAAAGTCTTGCACACAAACACAGGAATCTTTTCCATCAAGATCACTATGGCAGAAATTCAAGTTATAAGTTATTACAAAGGATTAAATATGTTTTTCCCTCTAAAAATTGATTTTATTTGGTTTTAGTCCTTTAAAAAAGAATTCTTAATTTTAGTCCTCTAAATTTATATAATGTATATTTTTAATCCTTTTTTTTTAAATACTGTTAACTTTTGTTGTTAAAAATAGGTCACTTCAACTTTCAAATCACTATAAGTTTTATTGACATGAAATATTTTTAATTTAAAATATTAATTATTTCAGTGTTAAATTAAGTTTTAGGATAAAAACTAATTTTACATTTAATTTTTTTTACTATTCACTATCAATGCAAGTATAGAGGTTCTAGTAATTTCTTTTTTACTTGAACAAAAAGTTTTCCACTAAATTGTACTAAAATCTTCTCACAAACTTAAAATAAGGTTTTTTTTTCTCCACCATCATCACTGTGTCCATAAATGTTTAGTTTCACATTTTTGTCTAAGCTCCAAATTCTCAATTTTCAACAATATCATTTCACTCTAAACCTCAAAGTGTTAATTACTCTAAACAATATTCATTTTTCTCCCTCCCAAAATTTCAAGATGTTGTCTTTCTAAAACAAGAAACCTTTGACTTTCTCCGGGTGAAAGCAAAATATAGAAACATAGAAAAATAAAACATTTTTAGAATCCACATGTCTAGATCTAAGAGTGAATAGTAAAAAGTTTTAAATGTAAAATTAACTTTTACCCTAAATCTTAGCTTAATCATAAAATAATATTTTTAATTAAAAAAAAATCATGTCCATAAAACTAATGATGATTTTGGTACTAAGATAATCTATTTTGACAACAAAAGTTAACAAGGTTTAAAATAAGATTAAAAGTAAGTATTATGTATATTTTATGGACTAAAATCAAGATTTTTTATTTTGAGAGACTAAAATCAAATAGAGTCAATTTTAAAAAATCAAAAACATATTTAACCCTAAGTTACATGTTAGACACTACATTTTAAAAAACGCTACTCATTTTGAATTATTTTGATCTGTTTTATATTTGCAGTATATTTTCAACTATCACATGTTTTCTTCTATGGGTAGTTCTTTCTTTTTTAACTGCAACAATCTTTTTTTTTTTTTTTTTTTGTGATATACGATGCTTCTTGTCAATGTATAGAAAACACAATTCCAAGAATAAGGAAAACAGGAAAATTCAGGGTAACTGGGAATAATACACATGTTCAAAATTAAAAGGCTTAGACGAGCCGTACTTGCCGATTAAGACAATATGATGACAAAGCCAAATCATCACTTAACCAAATAATTAAGTGTTCAATGTCCTTCAGTGTAAGTACTAGTATTGTCAGCACTCTTGAGCTACTTGGCCTCACAAAAGTGGCCAACCATTTAATCAACTTGGGCGTCAAAACCCAACATAAATCAATCAAGAATAACCCTAGATACTACGGATAATTAACAACTAAATATCAGCCGATTGCATGGTCGTTCACCACTCAACTTTTTATTGTGAAATGGCAATCATGATGGCAAACTTGTATCAAGCATAAACACCCATTTTCCAACAGCTTTCTCAAGCTTCATACAGCAAATCTAAGAACACAGCAGCGCAACAGTTCTCAAAGTCCATTACTGCATTCCCAGAAGCTCAACAACTATTAAGCATCATCCGGACAGGGCAAGTTATATATGGATCAAATTGACGTTATTGGGCTCTATCAAAAACCAGATTTCCAAGAAAACCATTGTGCTTCTTACACTGCTGGAAGAGTTCTTTCCTCAAATCATGGCAGTATAAATCCATGAGTTTGGCAATAAAACCATTGGTGTTGCTTACCACTAGGAAGTAATTTATTCATCATCCACAAAAGACAATACAGGAATTCCCTTGCTAGAGAAGCTGGAGCACACAACTCGCATCTCATCACCTATTTTAAAGTCCTTTTTGTTATTTTCCTGCATGACAAAACAAGAATAGGTTAGCAAGTGAATTATATGGTTCATGAAGCAAACGAGAATTGATTGACCGATGATACATCATCAAATGAAGAGAATAATACAATTTAATAATAGTGGTGTGGGTATTAGAAGTTAAAGGAATTCTTGAGCTTATATGCGAAGTGATACTACAATGAAAGAGATCAATTGTTGCAGAAATGGAAAGGAAGAAGAAAGACAACAATTAGTGTGTTAACTTGTGGGTATGAATAATCAGCAAAGCTATTTCGTTGATAAACAGATAATGTACCATATATGCATTATTATTATGGCCCCTAAAAGACACATAGTATGATTGACAAAAAGAATGCCAAATGACCAGAGAATATATCCTCAACATGATATCATGAGAAAAGAGGATACAAAGATGACTCATACCTCAAACCGGTACATTCCTCGAATTCCTCCACCCAAATCCAACACTAATCCATGTGCACGAATTTGATCTACCTTGGCAGTTACTTTTGTTCCGAGTTTCAGATCTTTTGCAGATTCAGACGACTCCTTATCTTTAGGTTCTTGCTCATCCTCCTCTGGTCTTTGATGATCAGATTTGGACTCTTTCATCATCGAAAGTTTTGTCTTCTTAACATTTTTATATGGCAAGGGACCTGAATGAGAAGATGGAGAATCAATAACAACTTGAGATCTGCGAGATTTTGACTTAGGTGGAGAATCATTCACATTTTGAGATCGACGAGATTTTGACTTGCGATCCAATTCAACCTCATTATCCACGTGAGAACCTTTTGAAGATAGATTCAAGCTAGAAGATTTCTCCTCTTCATCACACTCTGCAGCACTACGTATTAAAATTACTGGGACTTGCGAGGTTTGGGAGGTTTGTGATTTTGCTTCACCCAACTCAAGATTGCCTAGAGACGACTCAGAAACAGAATTTTGTTGTTCTTGTGTACTAGACACATTCCCAACTGGTGCCCAAATGTTGGCTGTTTCTTTTGCAGATGCAACAGATCCTTCAACTACATCATTAGTCTCCATTCCTCCGCGACGAGGCAAAGTTGCTTTAAGGGATAGTTTAATGTTACCATGAACATCTTGGCCTATGCACATCAAAGAAAGCTTCTGGCCAACAGAGACAACCTCTGAAACTCGGGAAACCTAAGGATGCACAGTTATTAATGACAATTATCACATACAAATTGCTATGCCTGTTAATAGCAGACCTAACACGACTCTTAATGATAAGCAATTAAAAATAGTTAAAATCAGACATACCGGTTCATGTGACAACTCAGAAATGTGAAGTAGGCCCTGCTGGCCACCATTAAACTCCACAAAAGCTCCATATTCTTTTATAGTGGCAACTATACCGGTGTAGATACCTCCAACTTCAATTTCACGGCCCACAATAAAATCAATCTGACAAACAAGGTTGTACTTCAGAATGACAGCCACAAGGAAAAAGATGAGGGTAGATATTTCACCATTCACCATTAATATATACACAAATTAGCATGTATATGAACAAATAATGAACTTAACAGACGGCTCAGTGTGCAAGGCTCCCACCAAGTGGGGTCTGGGAAGGGTAGATATATAGCAGTCTCCACAGGCGGAGTCTGTTCCCACTTTCCAGTATATAAACAAATGGATAAAATAAAATGGTTTACAAGAGAACTCTTAATTCTTAATGATAACATTACTGCATGATATTATCAGCACAATATCAATTCCTGATATTAGGACAGACAATTATCTCACTTATGACTACGTGAATGAATTTCCAAACAAAAAGCACAAATGGATAAAAATTAATTGTTCAACAGAATGGAAGAACTACCTTTTCCAGTACTTTGTCCATTACAGATTGATTCTTAGCAACTATTGTAAGTGTTCCATCACCTACAGACATACGTGCACCTGATTGTAGTACATAATAACATGTTAAGTAAATGTGTTCTGTTCCTCAAAGTATACGTAATACAGCAAGCAAAAATGCTGTTAAAAGCATGCTCATATTTAGAAGCCAGAGAAAGGACAATATTTTAATATATATTTTTAAGAGAACTTAGATATAAATATTGCAATTAATGAAAAAACAAGATCAAGAAGGATCAGAACTAGCAAGCCCAAAAAAGGTGAACAAATAAATCCTTCTTCGTCAAAAAGGATATCCGGAAGTATAAGACAACTTCATAATACAGTCTAAATGGCAGGGGAAGCGGATTCAAATAATTAGAACAAGGGTACAATTAGTTAAGAATAGTATGCAAAATTTCATTTATTTGTGAGACAACCGGGTATCATTTGACTCGATAAACTATTTAGTATTTAATGAGATTTTGAGATATAAGAAACTGTCAAATGAGTGAAGAATGAACACTTTGGTTCCTATATATACGAATAAGGGAGACAATCAAAAAATGAGTTAATTACAAAGGGATAAGAGTCACACTATGAAATAACGGGAATATGTTAGAGCATAAATTATTAGGGACATGAAAAAGATTATCCCTAAATAGATGAGTTTTGATTGAAGAATCAACAAAGTGGTTAACTCTAAACTTGAGGTTTGGAGATAGACATTGCAAATTTACCAAGAAATAAGAGGAAAATGAGTTGGAAGTAAAAAATTGAAGATTTTATACCGTAGGGGGATCAATATTATAAAATGATGGGGAAATTAAAGAAAACGTCACAAGAATTATACAATTTGGTTGATTAAAAAGAAAAAAAGGCATCCGAGATTATTAGTGACCCAAAGTACCTCTCAAGCTCAAAGAAAAGTTTTTATCATACTGTTATACAATGAACTATACTCTACTGCAGTGTATGTTGGGCTCTAAAGAGATGAGAAGAAAAAAAATGGGAGTAGCGTAATTGAATGTTATAATGAATGTGGGGCCACATAAGAAAGAACAAGATGCAAAATGATTGTACACGAGGAGATATTAGTGTGACACCTATCAAGGAAAAGATGATAGAAAATTAATTAAGGTGATCTGGACACATGAAAAGAAAGCTATTGTAAACACCAGCGCCAGAGGTGAGGAAAGTAGATCACATGGTTTTTAACAAAGTGAAAACAGGTAGAGGGGAATCAGGGGCATTGGAGGGTATTATTAAAAGGAATTTCATAGTGAGTAATATCCCTGAAAATTTGGTTTTAAACCAAGTTCAATGGCATCGTGTGATCCATGTTGCTGTCCTTACTTAGTGGGATAAGGCCATTGTTATTGTCATGACTCATGAGGCGCAAGGAAATATTAAAGGAACCCTTTATTTTTTTCAAGAAAAATTTGGAAGGGGAAGGCCACTCTATTCCAAGGTCAAGGCACCTGGGCAAGATCATACCACAATATTTAACATCTTTTACCAAGGGAATTTTTAGAAACAGGAATCAAACCCAGGCCTTTCAACTTTCAAGCAAAGTACTTTGATTCTAACTGTTGAACAAACCCCCTTGGTAAACTGCATATCCCTTTCACAGTTTTACATTATTAATTAAATGAAAAAAAATGCAATTTTCCAATGACTACGTGCATTGATGAAGATCAACCACAATATTATATCAGAGCAAAAACTGTTTTAGTAAAATAAAAGTGAACCTCAAACATGCATTTATTGGCAAAACATTGACAGAATAGAAAATTTTTAAGGCACTTTTGGAGAAACTTGAAATTTAAGTTGACCTGTTTCCTCTTCCATTTTTCTCTTAAGAGCACCCATTGGTCCAATTAGGCGACGGAGAGCATCATTGTTGTACTTTAAGGTGGCTGCACCATCAATAATAAATTTCAAACTTCAGGTATCAGACATTATCAAGGAACCTAACTTGAAACAAAAACAGAAATGAACTAAAATAAGTTAAAAATCTTAACCTAGTCGTGGAGAAGTACTGTCATTCTTGTTACGAGGTACATTAATTTCTTGATCCATGTGATCAAGAATTTGAACACGGGCTTTGCGCCCAGGTTCTAAACATTCACATATGATATCCAGAGGAATTCCAGCTGGTTTCATATCCAATTGAATAGCAGTAACTCCATTTCGACTCCCAGCAATCTTGAAGTCTATGTCACCCAGATGGTCTTCCAAGCCCTTAGAAAAATTAAAATTAATACTTTTGCATGAAATACATCATTTCTTTTCTGTTCAACATCTTACTCTTTGCTTAGTAATATAGAATCACTGGAACACATAAGGATACCATGAAAGGCAGAGGTAATTACAAATATGTAATATTATTTAAATACATATTTGATAGTCAAAAGGAAGTAAACTTGAGTATCACAATGTAACTACTAAATCATATATTCTCAACAAATATGCAAACAAAGTTCATTATTTTGTTTACTTTAAATATAATTTTTTATGTAATTTAAAATTATAATATTTCATTATAAATTAAAAATATAGAAATCATTCAAAAATATTGACATAAGTTTTTATTCAAAAAGATCATAAAATACCCTAAGTAATGACTTGAATATAAGTAGTCGATAAATTAGTAGAAAAATATAAATTTTAATTGAATATTATTATATTACTCAAACAAAAATCATATTAAATGATATAACCATACAAGTTCTGGAATATACCAGAATATCGGTCAATATACGATAATCTGTTATTTCGCCAGTGGATGGATCAAGCTCACTAACAAGACCCACAGAAACCCCAGCAACATGTTCACGCACAGGAATGCCAGCATCCATCAAG